CCCGCCAGCCCGCCCGGCCGTGCCGTTGCCTGCACGCTGCCTGGGAACTGGGGTCTGACCCTGCCCCGTGGGCAGGCTGAGTTCATGGCTCTTCCCTGAGCTCCAGCTCTGCGGCACGGAACACGGGAATTGCGGCTGGGACCATCTTGGAGAGCGTTAGAATGAAAAGCAGCAGGGAGGAGGTGGGCATCGCTGCACCCCTGGTGCAGCACAGGCAGGCGGTGTTGGATTCAATGATGTCCAGCTCCCTGCTGCTGCTCTCTTGGGATGTGGGCAGGAACCTGTGGAAATCTAGCTGTGGCAATCCTGCTAGCCGTGAGGGCAGTTCTCCTCGCACACGTGTCAATGTTGTATTCATTTGGGGTTTAACAGTGGCACTCCAGTGAAGGACATAAAATTGGCAGAAAAAAACCAGGAGAGACCTGCCTGGTGGGGAAAAAAAAAAACCAAACAACAAAACCAACAAAGACCTGAACAATCCCACTTCTTCCTGCAAAACCACAATGCCTGGTTGTGAATGATAAGACTTCTGGGGCTTGAAAGACCGGTGTGGCACGGGTGGACGGGGCCTGCTGCGTGGGAGCCTGCAGCTGAAAGGGAGACGGGAGATTTCAGCGACGTGATCCCCTTTTGTCCGTGCTCTTGGAGATGCCCCATGCTTAGCCACCAGATCCAGCTCTCTTCCCGTCTTGCTGCAAACCCTTCCAAGCTGGCGTTGCTAGATCCTTGTTTGGGAGAGGTATTCCATTTAATTTGTTCCTTGCCATGTGAACAGTGGCAGTGGAAGCTCTCCCTTTCCCTCCTGACCCTGGGAGGATCCCTGTGAGCTGGCTGAGCTCTTTGCCAAAACTGCTGCTGGCTTCCCAGCTCTCAGGTTGCTTTTACTTCTTGGAGCCTTACTTATTACTGGGGAATTGTGCTGCCGTGTTCCAGGCAGCATCATCACCCACGCAGCCGGTAGCTGGCATGGCTGGTTATTGCTGTGTCCGTAATTTCATGACTTTATCCTCTCCCCACTCCCTGTTGCTGCCCTTATCCAAGCGGTGTTTTGATATTGCTGCCACAGCTGTCAGGTGATCAGTTGCTCTTTGTTCTGACAGTGGCTTGTAGCACAAATGTAATGTTTTCCTACGCTTAATTGCCTCTCAGTGAGACCATTAATTGGCAGCAGCAGGTTCCCACCTCCAGGGGAGGACCTGGCTACGTGTTCATGGGTACTGCGTGGAGCCGGTTGGAAAAGCTGGAGGGAGACTTTGAGCAGAGAAGGGGTTAACTTGTGTTCTAAAGAGAGTTACCTAAATCCAGTGAGGCCCTGGAAGGAACCCCAAGCTTTGCAGGTGAAAGGGTCCCGACAGCATTTGGTTCCGGCTACTGGTTCACCAGCTCCCCTCTGGCCTGAGCTCTGCCGATGTCCCCGCCGTGGTTAGGAGAGGGGTTGATCTCATGCCGGAGGGGTGACTCACGGAGGCCCCAGCAGGACAGATCTGGTTAGCTCTGCTGGCTCTCCATTTATCACGGGGCTTACGCAGCTGTCTCCTTGGCACGGCGTGCGGGGAGCGGGCACACGCGGGCAGACGGGTCGGGCTGCTGGCCGCGCGGGGCGACAGGCTGTCCCCCGGCCCCTGCGGAGCCCCGGCAGCCCTCTCCCTGCTCATTCCTGGAAAATCTGTTCGGACAGAAGCGTGTGAGCCCCGGGGAGCCACGTGCCACCACTACACCTTGTCTCCCGGCTCCAGTATGGCCATGCCCTCGCTGGAGGTGACCCCAGGAAAGGCACCCAGCAGTGCTCAGAGTGGGGTCCCACCAAGGTGGCCTCGCAGCCCGGTGACCGAGCAGCAGGGCAAACCTTCTGTCTCCTGCCTACCTTTCTCTTGTGCTTGGGGATGAGTACCCAGAGTTAGTGATGTGTCTGACAAAGCTGACTTTTAAGACTCAGGCATGCCAGTGGGGTGTAGACCTGTGGGGAATCAATGGCCTCGCTGGGATACAGCCCTTCCCTTCTCCTCACGGAAATCACCCAACCCCCAGAAATAAAAGTGTTCTTCCCAGAGAAGCTGCCAGGAGAGCTTTACACCCCTGGGATTTACGCAGTATCCAGACAGTGCAGCAGCAGCCCCGGGCTGTGAGAAGTGCCATAGGGGTGTGGGTTTGCTCCCGTGCACAGAGGGAAGAATTTCCATATAACCAGAATGCAGGAAACAAGGGAACCCCCCAGCCCTGAGTGCTGTCCTCCTCTCAGGTCAGCCCTTGCTCTCCCGCAGTGCTTGCTGGCTTCACTACTTAGCTTTTTGCACTGACAATGAGCAGCTTCACGACTCAGTGCCTTGCAGCTGCTTTTATGGCTGTGGGACTCTTGCCTCAGAACTGTCTGGGCACCTGAAACAGCACGCTCCACCTAGAGAAACCGAGGGATCTGAGCACATAGATGGGAGAGCTGAGGAATCTAGGTGGAAGAAGAGAAAAGAAAACCTTTCCACTAACCCCAGTGGAAGGCAGACTATGTTTGCTTAGCCTTAATCGATCCTTGTTCCAGTGAATTTGATTAGGATGGCAGGAGGTCGTCTGTGGAGTTGGAAGACCCTAAATGTAGGATGTGCTTTGCACCCCCTCTTTCCCAATCCAGAAAACCTGCCTTTAGGTCAGTCTCTTCCCCTGCCTAGGGAGGACAGCCTCCCAGCAGTAACCGAACCCCAGCTCCATGCTGGCATGGAGACCCAACAACAAACAGCCCAGCCCGGGCGCCTGCCCAGGGCGCCTTTCTGAGGAAGCCCTTCTGGGAAGATGTTCTGGGAATGTCTCTTTCAGACATCAGGCCCCCATCTCCCACCAGCTCTGATTTGTTTTTCCTGAATCCTTGGTACAGAATATTCAGAACCAGGAAAACCAGAAAGAAAACTTGGACCAGAGGTTCCCCAGCCTGTTCAAGAAGGGACGAAGGAAAACGGTTGTCAGGAATCTGGGCAAAATGATCTATTACTCCAAAGTCAAGTTTAAGTTCCAGCACTGCCAGGTGAGCTACGGCACCTCTTTGTGGGGAAAGAGAATTGCCTTGGGCTACTGTGTGGCCCAGGGACGTCTGCTGCCACGTGGTGCATGGGTACCGGCCGGCATCCACCAGCTCTCGTCCCAGTGGGGACCTGGGCCGTGCTTCCGTGCTCAGCTGCTGGGCTGGCAGCAGATCCAGCAGCAGAGGTGGTGGTGGCCCTTGGATAAGCGATTGCTGGCCCCAAAACGTGTCTTTTCTGCAGGAGGTGAATGATTGCTTCTTGGAGCTGTTCCAGTCCTACCTGTACTTCCAGTCTATGGGCTCCAACGGACTCACCTACCAGGTAGGGCATCTCCTGGACACGCTGGGGCAAGCACTGGGGAGTCAGGCAGTATGGCCAAGCTGGGGGCACTGGGCAGATGGGACAGGATGGGGCTGGGGGCTCTGCTCCTGGGGCTGTCACTGGCCTCCTCTAGGTGATCTCAGCAAGTCCCTTCCCGTGGATGCCAAGCTCCTGTGGAAAGAGACCATTTCTTCCCAAGGACTGTACCCAGACACCCTCAGCTTCACCTGGGTCCTTGGCCTTGCCTGTGGGCAGAGATAAAGGACCCCATAGAGACTGGGACAGGGGCTTGTGCAGGGCTGGCAGGCAGCACCAGGGACGAGAGACGTTCAGGCTGTCTGGACTTACCTTTGTGTAGAGCACCAAGCACAGAGAGCTGTGCCTTGGCAGGGGTCAGAGCTCCTATTGCTCAAAATCCACTGACCTCAATGCCAGTGGGGGACTTGGCCCTGGATTCTGAGCCAAGGGGAAGTTTGTCTGCAGGGCAGAGAAACAGGCATGTGGGAGAGGGTGGAATGAAAAAAAACTGAGGGCAGCCTTGGGGAGCTAGCCTGGCAAACCCTCGTCAGTCTTTTAACCCGATGATGCTGGTGGATTACAAACAATAGGCTATTTTGCACATGCAGCCCAAAAAATCACAACCGAACAAAGAGGAAGCCCTGAATGCACTCTCCCTCTACATGAGCGACTGAAACTGAGCATGGCTGATTCGTAGATGTTCGTAAAATTCGTCCCTTTTAGAAATGATTTGTTGTCTTCTTGGTGACTTGAGGTTCTTGCAGTATGCCAATACAATTTCTCAAGTCATCCAGCAAGCCAGCCTTCAGCTGAAAAGACACGTGTCAGAACACAAACAGTATTACAAAATCTCCCATCTACTTTATAAACAGCTCCTCAGTTTGTTAATTCTAGAGGTATTAAAAAGGAATTAATGTGCCGGTACTGGGCCCTAGATGTTACAGCAATTAGCATCTTTTACAGTCCTTGTTTAGAAAGCACAAGACAGGGAGCACAAACTTGTCATCTATTCCTGTGCTCCGTTATAGTGGCACCCTGAAGAACTGGAGTATAGAAACCAGACAGCTCAGTTTTGTTTTCTGGTCATTTCCAACTTCTGGCTTGCTTGTGTTAAACCAGCGTTGTTTTGCTGAGGTTTCTCTTAAAACTGAAAGGCTTGGAATGCAAAGAAAGCGTTTTTGCCAGCATGGCAGA